TCAAAGTGGAGCTAAATTTTTCACCTTTATCTTTGAAAGTGAGTCTACTGAACTCAATTCAACCGCTCCCCAGCTGTGGAAATGGGAAGGAGATAGATTTCATGGACTGCCGTTTGATTGTCATCTTTTAGAGGAAGTCATTGCTTCAAGCACAGAATACTTGTGAATCTTTATTCTGCAGTTTATAGTCTACCGCTGATGCTCAATAGAGTTAGCGAAATAGCACTCATTACCGAATTTCGCGAGTTAATGAATTTCAGGAGCGCGGCTTTATGATCTAGAACACAGTTGTTGTTCAATCGTTTCCATGCGCGAAACTTCCGACAGACGGGACTGTTCAAATTAATCACGTTTGGTCGGTGGCACCCGACCTGATTTACAGTACAACTATACACCCCAGATAACCACCTAGCTCTAGTACAGTAAATTTGGCTCGACCTTTGATACGATGGTTTTGTGAAAATCTCATCGCGCTACACACGCCCAATGAATTTCAGCACATCATTTGACTGGAATCATCTTCGTTTGGTTTGATGAGCTCTATTGATTATCGATGCTATGCAGTATGGGGTGAGCGTGTTCAGTTTGTAACAAACTGTTGTTCAAAATCGATCACTTCTACTCGCAAAGTTACATCGACTGAAATACCGAAACCGGAATAACGATCGTATAGATAGTTCATTCTATATTCAGTTCTCATATCAAATGTGTGTGTGACAGAGAGAGAAAACACTGCCTCATTGATGAAACTTAAACCACCGAGACCACTGGAAGTGAAAAGATCAAACCGACGAATGAATCTGGTGCTCATCGAACGGTTTTATGAGGAATTTGTTTTATATAGCTCCGAAAAATGTTAACGCATAGTTGTTGACCAGTTCATGAACTGGGTAACACTCCAAGTACTGTAATATGGGTTCTCAGTCATATTCCTGATTCTAGGTTTTTAGCGTACCTATCCACATAACCGTTCCTTCGAAGCTGATATACGTATATATATCCAAAAATCATTAACAAAGATCTATATGGTCGTAACACATACCAATGCTTGGTTATGGATGGTCCGATCACCTTCTTGGCTAAATTTGTCCACTCACCGGAGTAAATAGATTTATTGTGGTTCGTTCAGTTTTGGACTCCTCAATGCTGGCGAATACAAGTTAAGCGGGTTATCTACCGCTCGATGTATTTGTTTTAATTATTCAAATGGGGTTAGCCCTGTAGAAACTTTAGCTACTTTCCTAAAGGAATTATTGGTTGGTATTGTTCCTATTCGTACGACTTCAGTTAACGAGGCCAGGTCAATATTTTAAACCATGTACGGTAGACGATAGTGATCTAGGCCAGCTAGTGACACAACGATAGTGAGGTGTATAAAAATTTGAACGTTTTTAAGTTTTCATCAGGTATGGTAAACCACCAGTCCTTTTGAAATTGCAGGCAATAATGGCAGTGGACACAACCGATTATCGTGAATAAATTTTTCAGTTTTATAACAACTAACCATGTGGAGAGCAAATTCAAGGGTAGAACATTTAGCTCATATAGACTGGGGCTGCAAGAACATTGAAATGCATGAGCGCCACTGTTTTCAATACTCAGTTATATCACTCAGCTTCTGTCACTACCAGTTACCATGATCTCGGGATCCCCATCCAGGTAGTCTAATGGTAACTATGTGACCCAGTGTTCTGGTTACGGTTTTTATAACCTCATGCCGGGTCTTAGTTTGACCGCTCTTGACCTTTTTCCATCAGCTAAACGCCTCAACAAACATCGCTCGCCTAGGCAACATATTCGGTGACATGCGCAACACGTCCCAAACAGCGTAATCTATGGAGGCTGACCGCGAGTACCATAAACTCTACACCTGGATGATTCACCACGGGTCAACAGCTCCAAAAGGAAACTTCGACCGTTATTCGTCATATCCGTGTAGGCATTGACTGATGACAGTTCACCAGAAATGAAGGATGAATTTTACAAGAAGCTCTCTCACCTACTCCAAAGTGCTCTATCAGTGAATATCGTGGTAGGCGCTGAAACTTCAATGCTCAGGCGGGATCCCTGGGCGAATCAGAAAGGTTTTTCGCGGTGTACCGGAAATCATGAAGAAAGGAATCGGATTACGCTCTATAACTTTTCAACTTCCAACGTAAATTCAAGTGAATCCAACCAATCGCACTCTATTGGAAACCTCACAATATTATTGGTGTTTCGACCGTCAAATGTCACCGATTTGACCGGGTCTGTCTAAACCCCGTCCAGTCCGAATGAATTAACTTCTCCGTAAACAACCAAAAGTACTTTAAGAGTCAGTTACCGCGCGAGGATGAATGTTGCGGGGTGGGGGGTGGGTTATGTTCGTGAAAGTTAACTGGGTGTGCGTCATAGATACGAATGAACTAACCCGAAGTTGATTGACCTTTGTCGGTCGGGTAAGGAAGTGAATCACGTTAAGATTAATTGATAAGTCGGTCGCCATGAGCATGATTCATTGCATGAGTGGAGTCAATCTAAGTCCTCAATAACCCAATGAGTAAATTCCATTGAGGCCGAATTTCTCTCGAATAAAACAGATTCTTTTGAATCAGATGCGATTGCTTACAGATTTCTGACATGGAAATGCACACTTGACGAGATGATGAGTGTGACTTCTGCAGTTAGTTTCTCCCCTCGAATCATTCGCCACTGGGACTAAAGGTGTTCTATGCAATGCTAACCTTTCTATTTAGATTACGACGTGACGTTTTTGCTTGCAACATCACCAGTAATGTGATACTATAGTCGAATGTGAGTGGCTTGAGTGGATTTTTATCCGCGATACACGCCCTTCATTGCAATAGAAACAGTATGCGATTATATTCATCCAACTGATTTTCATCTCAATTTGCCTATCGGCGCTCCCGATGCATTGGCGTCCCTCATTCCTTACGTTTTTTCTTCCTGGGACGGAAAACGTAAAGCTGTTCGACTGTTTCTTTGACTACAGAGTGATGCCTTCAGTTGTATTGACCGGACACAACTTCCGCATACTCTCCCGGAGAAGGATATTTAGTCGCAACTTAACTATCTATTACATAATTATTTCACCCATCACCTATAGTATACTAAATATAATGGTCGAAACTCGTCACTTTTACCCTCCACTTAAGGAATTCTTCAAGGTGCTATTCTCTCTGACTTCCTGTTCTCAACCTATATTTCTTCCATGCCAGCTTGATTATTGTTCGCTCATTAAGCATGCCGATGATGCTGTGGATGGAGTGAAGTTTTGGAATTCCTCCATGTGCCCCAAATTTGTGTATAACGTTTCACTGCTCACCCAATTGTCTTCGCATTAAAACCTTAGAATGAGTACTTCCAAGTGTTAAAGTGTTTTATTCTCTTTGCTGAAGAGTGACAAATACATTGGTGCGATGAACTCTTGCTGGCATATCATAATAAATAGAGAATACGTTTCCAGGGCGTACTACCTCCAATAACTTGGAGTCACCATTTTCCGTAATCTTTCTTGGACTCCTCGTGTCATGGAGGCATTTCACGAAGTCAAGAAACGCACGTTTTAAATTATCCATTTGAAAATGCTATCTACTAGGGCGCCAGCCTCGAACCCGAGAGTCACTTCAAGACTTCAAGACTACTCCAACTTACTTAATAAAACGTTTTGTCTTTTCTTGTATCCTTCCCCGCTGGGTTTATACATCCACAGTTATCTTTAACGGTCTTCTAACCGAAGACTTCTAACTCACACCCACATTCATCAAACACGTATGTCGATATAGTGGTATATCTCGTGAACACATTGTGCAGTTTATAATTTCAGTGCTTCAAGGTTTGCCGGAAACTTTCTGCCATACTACTACGTTAAATGACTGAGGTCGCTATACTCACCTCCGGCCGAGTGAAGGACTACAACGAACTAGGTAGGCGTATTTCGATTTTCGGTGTTTACCTAGGGATCGAGCGAACGCGTATTCTGGAGGTAAGCTGTCATGGGTTTGGGTGTTAATGAGGGATAAACCTGCTAGCTCATCGAATTCAGACTAGTAGACTTCCCTGGCTATGGCACGTATTGCGTATGCCCATCCTGTCATCAGTCATACCGCTTAAGCTGGTAGTGAATGAATGTGAGTACAAAATGTTCAGTGGAAAAGCTATCGGATCAGGATAAATGGATAGGACAAAGCCAGGTAACATGTGTGAAGTGGACAGGATATGAGAAATTTTAGACAAGAGTGAATAAAACAAGTGTGAATGTGAAAAAAGACACTAAATGAGAAAATGGGGAGAATGTAAAAGGTGTCGCATAGGGTAATCACTCTTATGGCCATGGTAACAGCAAAGTTTTCACTCTGTTCAAACTTATATGACACAATACCTAATGATCTATTCGCGCCATATTCGGTGAATCACTGGACTGGAAATACATCGTTAAGAAAAAAATCAGCTGCCATTGATTTACCCTTGTATTCGATTAACCCGTGTCAGATGGCAGTGGGTGATTACAACTAATAGGTCAATTCACACACTTCCTGAATCGTCTGTATATCTGGTACGGAAAGCCGACCGCTCTTTTTCGACCTTTCGCTGTTCGTTAAAAGCAACTCGCAGTGATTAATTACTGCAATTACTGCGTCACCACCACCGATGCGCATGTTTTACCAGTAAATACGGGTTGATCGAAGCGGACGCATTCGTTAGCACCAACACTACTATAACAAAATATGATTATTATATATGGAATAATAATAATGATAATGTATCTGCAGCTACGAGCAATTTTACTTGAACAGAGTTCCCTATCCACAAATTTGTAGGCAACAAATCTCGGATTCGCAATCATATAGCATATGGCGCGTCGGTTGCATTGCCTTCGGTCTTCGGCAGTGGTATTTCAAGTGATAGTGTTGTTAATTTTTCTGACTGAAAGTTATTTCACTGGTGATCCTCTGTTCTCTTCGGAAAAGGTCTAATTGGCCCCAGCCGTGACGCTTCTTTCAAACAGAACATGATAAATCCATTTCCAAATATGTAGGACTTACACTGAATGAGTAACTGTGGTTTGGTTTCCGATAGTACAAGTCTGGACAGGGAACACTCTCCACCATATTCGAACCGTTCAGGGCCTGCAGGGCTGTCACCAGCTCCCAGTTAGTGCGAAGCGGAAACTCTTTGTTATTTGCATTCAGCATGTACCGCCAGTCCGGTACAATCGTCTGATTCCACAGCAAAAATCGCGCACAGATCAGGGTGGTTTCAAGCACGGAAAAATAGCCCCAGGCCACATCCAATCGTTGGTCCGGTGGAATGAGAAATATATTCGGGCCGAAACACTGGGCGATTTGTTCAAACTGTTGCACATCTGCGCTTCTGCTCTTGCGATCAATATGGACACAGTAGGCGTTATGCGGACGATATATGAGACGAAGGAAATGTGCAAACTGTTCGGGATTTTCATACACGGCAATGGCAAACGCAATGGGATAAGCTTCTTCGTCTGGAGAAACCCACGGTATTTTCCCGTTGAATGTTGTTATGGCATCGCATGTTTGTTGTCCCTGATTTGAGGTGAATGCAGCATGCACGTTCAACTCGGGTACATTTTCACCCTTCAATAGGGTTTCGCACGTGTACCAAGTGAACTTGAATCCCACTGATTTTGACTGACCGAGATAGGAACGAATCAATAGGATCCAAGTCAATGTGACAGTTACAGCGATCACCCACACGAGTTTCACACGTTTCTGTCGCATCGGGGATCCATGGGAGTGACAAATCCCCTTCATATCTCACAGTAACTGTGACCTCATTGAAACGAGCTACGGATGACGATTTGACAGGCGCTTCGCAGTCTGAAAACTACGTCGGACCACCTACGCATTTCGGTGAATGCAATTGGCCAATCTGAATGAGGTGCACAACTGACACAACGAGATGCTCCAATCACATGTTCATGACCTGTGATGCGATTGGCCAAAAGATTGTCACGTGGTTTCTAGGCTAGTGCTTGCGCAAAGCGTGCACCCTATTGCATGCACATTCCTCCCCTTTGGTCCTGATTCAGAGAACGAATGTTTAGCCAATTACATATTCTTATAATTATTATTCGTGTTCGCTTCGGGCGTTTTATACTGTGCGGTGCATACATGTGGCATCACATAACAGGTCAGTTTGAATTGGGTGGAGCGACAGCGTGTTTGTGTGTCCCCTTGTTTTCGGTGACGCGTTCAATCGATCAAGTGGAATGAGTGAACACCCCCATCCCACCCTGTTCGTCGAGTAGGAAAGAAGTCGGAAATTGCCTTCTGTCGAACGAATTTTGGAGATAAGACACGCCGTGATTCAAGCTGATCGTGCCGTTTATCTCGCAACAATCACGATCGAGATCACGGTGTTTTATCATCCCATGGAGTAACAAAGCTATCGCATTTGAAACCCAGGTTTCTACTCGATCATCAGAAGCGTTTTGTTTAGGTGATAAATAAAAAACTACTACGGACTAACACACGAAAGGAAATGGACCGACAGGCTACCTCGAGAGATGAGTACCAAAAGTTCAGACAGCTCTGTCAACTAGTGGCGAGTGCTGCATATCCTGTATTACTTATTGTTATCATACCAGCTGTATGTCGGGCCATCAAGTGCGTTCAAAATATTTTTTCCTCGTTCGAAGCAACCTAACTCTCCAACGAATGAGGTTGATGGACTAGGCACAAATTGGATGAGTATTGATCGGCATCTGTCAACGATAACAACATCAGTTGGTTCACAATCAGTGGTAACGGACAAACCGGTACCTAATTAGAAACATCTCGAGTGTTTGGAATGGGATAAATTCTTATGTGCAAAACATTTCGACAACAGTGATGATGAATGGTACATTAGGTCCTCCGGGGGAAGTCATTCTGTGTGAGCCATGTTGAAGATGTACATCCGGACACTACATGCACAAACTAAGTCATCACAGTCACAAGAGGGTGGTAAATCCAAACGACTATCGAGGTCAACGTTGAGTGACTCGCAACCTCAGAAGCCAAGTCCAAATGTTTTATATCTTTTGCAAGTCAAGTTGTCCCAGTATCATATCAAGATGTCCGGGAATCATTTCAAGTTGACTGATCATTATTTCAAGATGTCTGGCGATTATTTCAAGTTGTCCCAGTATCATTTCAAGATGTCCGGGAATCATTTCAGCACCGGTGAGGTCAATGCGACAACTTGAAATAATCCGAGGACATCTTGATATGATATTGGGACAACTTGACTTGCAAAAGGTATAGAGATTTATTCGGCTCCAACAGTAGCGAATAAGTTTGCGGTACAGTAAATATAAAGCGTTGCAATTACATAAACAACACACTTCGTCGTGGCATTCCCAGAGGATATACCTGAACCGGCGAAATGAGCGATGCCAATCGAGAACCAAAGTGCAAGCGAACAAGCGGTAAGTGAAATAACGTCAGAGCACACTTGTGCACATAGGACAGTGTAACGCATGGGTGAGACCGAGGACCAACCCCAATAAGATTAAGCAACCAATACAATAATCAGAGTACGCGGTGAGTCAGATCATATCATGGTCAGGGAAAACTGTCATGAAAAAGTGGGGGGGAGGGTATTGAGTTTGGTGCTGTTGTGCCTTACAACTGACTGATTTGTGTTCAGACATGCCTGTGGTCAAAGTGATTGATCAATCGATCGGTTGATCGGTTGACGGCATACGCATGTAGTGCGACGTGTGAGCCAGTGTCGGCCTGCCCGCCTGCCTTCCTACACGTTGTTCGTCCCTGCTTGTTCTCCGGTTTGTAAACCGGCTACATATTTGCTGTTTACAATATAAAAAAATACTGCCTAATTCGTTGTGTGGTCATTTACTTGGAACACAACAGGTGGGCGAGCAAAGAAATGGAATTATTCGTGGCAAACGAAAAGTGCATGGTGATCGATAATGTCACGACAATGAAAATGAGAGAGGTGACTAAACAAATTTGTGGGTGAAAATGTGTGGAGGGTGGCAAACAGATTCAACAGAGTATAATGAGCACCACAAGTTAATAAGCTTAAGGAGCGTTTGTGTCGAACACACGTTTTCGATGTCTCCTCGCCGCCTCATTAAAGGAACCCATGACGTTTTAGCCTGGTGGATCATGATGACAATTATATGCCCTCGTACACGGCGTCCATGGGTGAATTCGAATCCCACCGTGGCTGCTGAACTGTTCACAATCTCGACATATGCCAAAAACATGACTCATTCACCTTTCTGTTTGATCGTATTGAAATTGTTTCATAAAAATGTGATTGTAAAGGCTTAAAAGTACTTCACCGAAAATATATGTTAGCCTACATTGTGTTCTTAATCAATGGGCATATTCCGTGATTTAAAAAAAAATACCAATAAATATCACGCGATTGTTCACACAGGTTTTGGGAGTTTGTGGTTCAACAGGCTGTGACAAGGTGTTAGGACAAGAATATCATACATTTATCGTCGAAAATATTTTCACCCCTCGTGCACGAAANCGAAACAAATGAACAAGCAGGTAAAACAGATGGCTGCACAACCAGATTATTTTTGGTTCTACACAGATTGCTTGAATACTCCAGTTATCCAATGCATTATAGGTATCTCGAGTAGGTATGAGAGGTTACTATTAGTGCCTGAGGAATGGACAAACAGTAAAATTTCAGCACTGGAAGATATTATAGCTTCCTTGAATTCCCAGTTTCTCCCGAAGAGCCCGATCCAGCGGCCGACGAAGAGTCTCAGGTTTTCCCACAGTAGCTCTGATTCAACACACTTGATACACCCCGCTGAATTTACTAAGGTTCCAAAAACAAAGAAAAACAAAAGCATTGCCCTAGAGTTGGGGAACCCTTCAATGCAGCCGACACTTACCTATATTACGACGACAGCAATAGAAACGAATAATGCGTCTTCAATTTCACGCTCTGGGAGCCACATTTATCCCAAAGTATTTACGCCGCAGATACAAAACACGTTAGAAAAAGAAAAGGGTACAGTTAGTCACACTGCTCCAACAGTTATCCGCACTAATGTTCCAGAAGCGACAGCAAATTCACTGAGGAAGAGGCAAGCAGAAGAGCTTGTGTACTGGACTGCATTACGTACTCAAATGACGTTCGCCCAACGAGCAATCTACGCCGCTTTTGCCAACCACCCTCGACTTAGGCCGGGGAACCCAGATTACTTCACTCTATTGTGAAGGATGAAAGGGTGGTTGAGAATGTTCTTCTTATTAATTACATTGTTTGTA